TTGGGTTGTGGTTGGTCTAAACCCTAAACCCCTAATTCTGGCACCCAAACTTCTCGACCATCAGATTTCGCAGGAGAGCCGAGGCGCACTCAACGATGCCGGCGAGGTGTCCAGAAGCAGTCTTGTAGGTGCCTCACGCATAATGTAGGGGCCTTGATAATTACCTATACTATTTTGGCGCTCCTTATTTAAATTATAGTAGAATATACCCCAAACCCCGTTCTAATTATCAAGGCCCTATAGTACGCTCCGGGGCTTAGGTGGGGGTTTTGAGTTCCAGAGCCTGTGAACTTTAGACTCTGTTTCCATAGCACCCAGAATAGTAGGGTGGTATCAGGGCAATGCCTGTGGATGGTTTGATGGTCTGTGCAGGCTCATAGGGATTCCGTAAGATTGATCTTGCGGTAGGAAGGGGGTCCAGGCTTTCCAAATTCAGAGTCGAAGGCTTTGGGTTTAGGATTTGGGCTTGAGGGCTCCCTCGACCCCCAAACCCCTAAACTCTGAACCCCCAAACCCCTAAACCCCTGAACCCTAAACCCCTAAACCCCTAAACCCTTTTTGCGGGAAGGAGACCCTGGGTACAGGGCTTGCGGTTCAGAAAGCCCGTGCCACCCGGAAGCGCTTTTCAAAGGCCCTGGGAACAAACCCGGCTTAGGTTTTGGGGGTATGTGACGGAAACATATAGACCATTATACCCAACTACAACGCTAGAACCCTTTAACACCTCATCCGCAATGAAACGAAATCCCCTCTTAACCAAGCGAAACAACCCCGGTAAAAACAGCCTCCATGAGACAGAAATCGTGCCTCATAAAGCCGTACGCCGTATGCGCACACACGGTTATCCCTTCTAAAGCCCTATGTCAACCTAGCCCCTTCCGACACCTACCTTACACCCCTAAGCCCAGCCTAAAACCCTAAACCCTGAACACCCCTAAACCCAAAGCGCCTAAAGCCCTCCTAAACACCGAAGGTCGAACCAAAGACCCCAAACCCAAAGCCGTAAACCCTAGACTCAAAACGCCAAACCCTAACCCCTAAACACAAAACGGCCTGAGAGAGCGAAGTGATCACTCCCCGAAGCCTCAAGATTTAGTTTTGCTTCTGTTGGGCCCTTTTCGGGGGTTTAAGGGTTTAGGGTTTAAGGGTTTAGGGGTTTGAAGCTTCAGGGTTTAAGGGTTTACAATTTTAGGGATTTGGGTTTAGGCTGAGGGTGTCGCAGGCCCATCTGATTTATGAGTTATTCTGCCCAGACCTTCCAAAATCCCTTAATTAAGGAATATGCCTTAATTCATATTTGGGATCCTATTATAATTTAAGGTATATGCCTTAATTAAGGGATTTTGGAAGGTCTGGGTGGTTAAGCTTATGATGCTGTGCTTTATGAGGGAGCAGAAGAGGGCTAAGGACTTTCAGCGCCGTGGGATGCCTCTTGTTGATCTGGTTCGTCATCCGTTGTTTGTAGGGCTTTTGAACAAGAGTCCTTGTGAGGATCTACAGATCTTCACGGCTCTACGGTTTCGGGCAAGAGATTCCCTGCAGCAGATGCTTTAAAAGGAAGAACTCCAAGCAATCCAAGTTTTGGCACAAGCATAGTTCTTCGTTGAAAACCGGATTTCGGGAAAAAGTGGTTTAAAAGGGTTTGGGGTTTAGGGCTTATAGGGTTTAGGGGTTTAGGGTTTACGGGTTTAGGGTTTAAGGTTTAAGGGTTTAGGGGTTCAGGGTTTAGGGTTGATAGGGCTTAGGGTTTAGGGGTTAGGGGTTTAGGGGTTTTAGGGTTGATAGGGCTTTCAGGCTCTTAGGGTCTATTAGGGGGCGGGGTGGATCTGGTGTTGATGGAACCGATAGCTTGGGAGAATTCAGCTGTTGATCGAAACGTTCGCCTGGTTCGTTGAGGCACATGGCTGTTGATTGCGGAAAGCTCCCGTCCACAAGGGAATGGCCTACAATCAAACTACGAGAAGCATCAGAAGACTGAGAGAGTACCCTAAACCCTAAACCCCTATACCCAATAAACCCTAAACCCTGAACTTAGTAGCCGTAATCCCAATTCGTGCCATGATGTGCTGGCTTTCTGACTTGGGTGTCGGGCCTATGTGCACGGGCCTGGTTGGTCATCGGCCCCACTTCCTCAAAACCCCAAGAGGAAAACTTCCATCTCCAGGCCCTGTACTCCTTTTGCTTGAAGACCACCAGCCCACGCGAACCCTAGTCAAGCAGAGTCTTTTGAAACACCCCTGGTTTAGTTTAACAGTTCCGGGAAGAGCTCGGAAGCGTAATAGAGTCCGCGAGCTTTCAACACAGCCTCCCTAACACCCTCACGCCCCCGAAAGGCACAGCCCCGTGACCTTTAGGCGCAGGAGTGTTTCAGCTACCAGCTCCCCATCCTCGTTCCTTCAGTGGAGCTTCGAAAATCTCGGGGGCACATCATAGGGCTTAGGGGCACGCGTGCGGATTTTGTACAGGCTTTACGGGCTCTTCAGGATCCTAATGCAACATTTTTTGCAAGACAGGAAAGGCGGCACGGTTGCTAGAGGGGCATCTCTCGTATTCTGGGGGCTTTGGGTTGGAAGGTTGAGCAGGGCAGACATAAACCTTCAGGTTTGATGGGATGGCGCTAAGGGAGTAGGACGCATCTTCCGACTTTGGGGGGATCATCGTCTACGGTTTAAGGTTCAGGGGCCAAAAGTTTACATCTCCGATGGTTTTTTCGATCTCATGACTCTGCAAGCACATGGTCCCTGGATCTTGAAAAGCTACTACTGGTAGGCATGCTGTCTACTTTGCTGAGCAAGACCACACCTAAACTCTAAAATCCACGCAGGTTTCTGACGCCGGGTTTAGGGTTGCGATAGGGCGTTTTGGGGTCTACCCTAAACACGAAGCTTCACACGCCTACAACAAACCCTTGCTTGAATTCTACGGAACCCTAAGATCCTCAAAAGAAACTCAAAAAAGCTGTAGTTGAGACTTGACTGCGGATTGATCTTCAGCTTTGGTGAATTAGCCTGGAAGGCTTGTTGTTGGCATCTCTGCTGTACATCTTTACGGTTAGGATTCTTGCGAACAGTAGCGCAGCGATTCTGGTGATGAGTGCAATCTCTTTCCCTGGGTCATGTCTGCTGCGGTCATTGTGAGTAATCTTGCTGCTCAGATTGGCTTGTGCGTGGGATGTCATATTTGCATTTTGCCAGAATAAAGGGGTGGCCGGCAAGGTTTCGAGTCATCAATATACACCCTCTATGGCTAAAGCAACCATACCATATAAAAGCTTTCCGAACTGTTCGAATTTAGATCAATGGGTTTAGCCCAGCCAAGCTCATATCGGCTTAGAGTTTAGGCTCTGTCCCTTGAGGTTTAGGCCTTCAGGGTTTTAGTCTTCAGACTCAGGGTTTCGGTTTTGAATGGGTTTGGAGTTTGCGGTTTTAAGGCTTAAGGGCCTTGAGAGTTTCCGGATGTGGAGGCCTAAAATTACCCCAAACCCTAGGCCCTAAAACACCCTGAACTATCTAGTAAAACATCTATAATCTATAATAGTACGATGAAATATGTAGTAATGTTGGACCCTAAACCTGACATGACTTTGAGTTTCCGGCCAAGGCTCTTTCTAACCGAAAAGCAGACAGAATCCTTGACCGCAGCTTGGCTCGATGCCAAAAGACCGCCGGGCACGTAGATGGCGTCCCCATCGTAATCCGCCGAAGCACCTGGTTCGTACGAGTACTAGTACTAGTGTAGTAGTAGTAATAGTAATAATAGAAGTAGCATTAGGGACTTAGGGCTCGGGGCTTAGTTTGTAATCTGCCGAAGCGCCTGGTCACTACAGGTAAGAAGTAGAATAGGGTTTGGGGGTCCACTATACTATAATTAGAACTTTAGGGTTTGGGGTTTAGTTTGTAATCTGCCAAAGCACCTGAATTGAAAGCGAGCCTTTGCCCTTGGGGATTTGGGATGGGGATTTGGGATTCTACACCCCCAGAGCCCTCAGCACTCTGGTCAAACGAACCCTAAATCCTAAAATCTCAAACCTTCAATCAGCGAGGCAACATCCAAAGAAAGACAGTACCTATACTCCCTGCTGGCTGTAGCACCTAGGACGTTCCGGAATTATTGGGAGTTCGGGTTTCGGATTCGTCGCATGGGGATTTTGGCTGTCGAGGCATTGGCTTAGACGACTTGCTCTTGCGAATGCCACTGTCAAGGTGTGTCCCCAGCACTGAATCCACAGCGGCATCACTTGCAGTAAGATTGACAACCACGAATGTCAACAATAACAAGAGTGACTCTCAACCCTGAACCCTAAACCCCAAACCCTCGGTTTTGATTGCAACCATACCACGCATGCCCCTCCCTCCCCAGCGACCTGACCCTTACACGCCCTGAGGCCCCTGAAAACATGCGATTCCCCCGTGGTTTCGTGGGGTCCCAGGCGCCACGGGAATAGATCGTGCCTCAGATGCGGGTTTAAGGTTTAGGGTTTACGGGTTTGAGGTTCAGGCCATTGGCTTTGGGCCAAGGGCTGGGGACCATGACTTTAAGAGCTATCGCTGTCATCCCACGTAGTGGAATCTACTCGTGCTGCTGGTGGCAGCAATGCCGGAAGTGCTGCGGTGACGAAGGTGATTATGGCGAACTGCAATGGTGGCATTGGTGGTTGTGTTGGATTGTATATTCTGATCAGAACGTGATCAGAACGACCCTGGCTAGTATCGCATTCTTTTTATGAGCTGTCATGGCCTGCGGCTTTGCAACTTCTCTCTCACGTCATGCTACACTGACTGCCTTTCTAGCCTGCTGATCCAACATCACTGGCAGGACAGCTACTATTCTGCCAAGTGCTTGTGCGTGTGTGGGTAAATCAAAAACACCACGAGTCTTGTATGTGCAATGATGCTTCAGCCTCCTCGCTTCGCACCATTGAGAAACTTAGCTTCGATTACCATTGACTCGTTCAGTTGCTCTGATTCCGATGATGGTTGTCATTATGCCGCATGTTGCTCTTAACTGCACATGTTTCCTGGTTCAGTGATCACAACCATCACGGATATCACAGTTCGAACTACTGTATCGGAGGTATGTGCTGTCAGCGTGCACGCTGTGCGTCGTATTTTTCCTTTCCGTCCCCCGCCGACTGCTTGAGACCAGAAGCCCCTGTTGCTGTCCTCATCGAACGCATCGATATCGCCTTCGTATATCGCGGTCCCATCCGCTGCCACTGACCTCGCAGCTGCTGCAGCAACTGACGGGGGGGGGGGTCCTGCGTGAGGGCTTGGTTCAGCCTCCGATATAAGACGGGTCGTTAGATCCTTGCTCTGATCCTAATTCTGTCTGGCATAATCTGAGTTCCTCAAACATAAGATATGGGCCTCAATAAGTAGAACGGGGTTTTGAGGCCCATTATACTATAATCATAATGAGGAACCAAAATACTATAGGTAATTATTTAAGCCCCTATCCTAAATCCTTGCCAAAGCCCTTGTAGTAGCCCTTATAGACCCCTTTTAACAGGAACCCTACGGGACCTTATAGGTAATTATTCAGGCTCCTATAGTACTAGGAGGATCATGGGACTTAGTAAGTAAGGTTATAATTATAGTTACCCTAGTTATAACCCTAGTTACTAAGTCCCATGATCCTTTAAGTATAGTAGTCCAGTCTTGCATCTGGAAGACACGTTGCCAGTCAAAGCCAGCTTCGGCTCTTCTTCCCTTAGCGGCTTGGCACTTCAGAGGCACGCGAAGGGTCTGGAGATAAGGTTGATCGTTTGAGGTTTAAGGTTTATGGTTTAGGGGGCTTAGAGCTTTATCTGATATCTTCTGATACGAAAGTATAAGGCTTCAGGCTATCGGGCTCATTTCGCAGCTCTGGAGCATTCGGATTTGGTGTGTGAGTGGGGCCTGCCAGAATTGTGCAGCAACAGCACAATACTTGGGTAAGAACTGAGAACTCTTGAATGAAATATCACATATGGCCATATTGTATGGCCTACACTGAGAGCAAACAGCGAGACTTAGCTACGGTAGGGGTCGGAAGAACTCGCAATTCTATTCCACTGCAACCCCTAAATAGTTGTACTTCAGGTCTCCCCTTACTCTCTCATTATTCAGATCTTCTCAATTTTACGGGCCCCATGTTCAAAGCTCTGCGCATCTGCTTCCTGCAAACTCGAAAAGATGCGGACTTCAAACATGCCCTTGCCGAGCAACTGTGCAGATGGAGTTCCCGCCTTAGGCTTGTCGGGATTTACGGCTTAAGGCTTTTTAGGATTTACGCCTCAGGGTTTAGGGTTTGATGAGCTTCCACTTTTCCATCAGTGGGTTGAAAGCCACCCGATGAGACTGCACTGCAAGGAACTGCTGGCCGCGAAGCCCTGAGTACGTAGCACAAGATAAGATCTTTGCACGAAGTGTCCCCAATTCTCCGCCCGTTCGATCGTGATCGTGTCACGCTCTGGGGCCGCGGGCGATCTGTTCACTGATCTGTTCGGAGCGGCCTCGTGACGAGCGGTGGCAATTCATTGACCGAGGCCGCGGAACACTACCAGCGACAATGCATGTCCTCCAAAAACCGATGCTGCAAGTCACAAAAATGCTGGGAAGCTGTACACACCAGCAACATGCAAAGCTGTGTTAAGGAAATCTTCTTTCACATGATTTTACGGCGAGCCTAGGCCAGCCCTGCTGCTACGCATCCTTAGCTCGCACTGCAGTCGAGGAACTGTCATCGGTCAGGTCAGGTGATTTTGCAGGGGGCGGCGGCGGCGGTGGTGGCGTTGGCACCTTCTGCCTGCAAAGCATTAATAGTCATTGGCTACATTGCAATATGAAGCCTGATGATGCAGCCGGAACAATCGTGGTAGCAGCGCAGGGGAAGCAGTAGGAGGAGCAGTTGTAGTCCTCGCAGTAGAGTAGCAACAGCAGTCGACGTCGTCGTTGTCGTCGGCACTGGTGCTGGTGCTGTTCTTGTTCCTGATGCTGGTGCCGTGGCTGCGGTTGTTCCTGTTTCTGTTGCTGTGCTGTTCAAACTGCTCATGCTGGCACTGTTGCTGTGGCTGGTCCTGTTAATGTTGCTGTGGCTGTTCCTGTTGCTGCTGCTCCCGTGTCTCGCTCAATCCAAGCACGAGGTTTTGGCTAGCGCTAGCCGCTAGCGGTTAGCGACATGCTTTCACGACAGCCGCCTCGCCTCCAAAAAAAGGTGCCCTTTGACTGAGATTGCCTGGGCAAGCGGACTGACATTCTGAACAAAAATCCACCTTTATTGAGCGTCCCACGTGCACACACCATGCATGAACCAAGGCATACAGCTTCGTTCCCTTTGTGACACAGAAGGGGCCAGGGTATTCTTGCCAGGATGGCATGTTACAGCGAAGGTCACCGTGCACCTAGACCCCCAAATCTGCATATTCGAGAAACCATAGTCTCTTTGAGCCCTGTTGGGGCACGACTACTACGACGACGACAATGCACGATCACCACCACTACCACTAGCACGACCACAACAACAACAAGGACGCGTAGTAGTACCACTACGACAACGACGACAATGACAACAACGACAACAAGACGACTATGATGACTACGACCACTACGACTACCGCGATTACGACGATTACTACGACTACTGCTGCTGCTACTACTACGACGACGACGACTACACTACTACTACTACTACTACTACTACTACTACTACTACTACTACTACTGCTGCTACTACTACTACTACTACTACTACTACTACTACTACTACTACTACTACTACTACTACTACTACTACGACTGCTACTGCTGCCACTACTGCTGCGGCCACTACTGCTACCCCTGCTCCTGCTGCTGCCTCTGCTTGGACTAGCAGTATCCAGAATAACACTAAATCCCAAACCCCTAATCAGGGGATATTTCTGGTGTCTACGGCGGAGGTGTTCTCAGTAAATAAGAGGATGCCTCCGCGATATGATTGCTTCGGGAGCAGCTGGGGAGAGCTTGGGGAGTGGGTTGGGAGTTATGTAGTTGGGAGCAGCTGGGGAGTGGGTTGGGAGCACTAAAGAAGATAACTGCTGAAATCGGCACTTGGGCCCCTCCCGAACCCGACCCGAATTCTGAAGGAAACCCGAACCGCCCTTCCGAAGACGCCCCCGCTACTTGCCCAAAAAGAATTCGGACCTGCATCCGGAAGAAGGCCCAGTTTGCAGAGCGAATTTGGCTTGAGGTGTGTCTTGGAGGGCGTTTGGCTTAGACTGGAAGGGGGAGTGGTGGGTTGGGTAGAGGGTTGGAAAAGGAGAGGCTGTTTGGGGGAGTTGGGTTGGGAGGAGGTTGGGAGTGGGTTGGGAGGAGGTTGGGAGTGGATTGGGAGGAGGTCGGGTGGGTTGGGAGGAGGTTGGGAGTGGGTTGGGAGGAGGTTTGGGAGTGGGTTGGGAGGAGGTTGGGAGTGGGTTGGGAGGAGGTTGGGAGTGGGTTGGGAGGAGGTTGGGAGTGGGTTGGGAGGAGGTTGGGAGTGGGTTGGGAGGAGGTTGGAGTGGGTTGGAGGAGGTTGGGAGTGGGTTGTTGGGAGTGGGTTGGGAGTGGGTTGGGAGGAGGTTGGGAGTGGGTTGGGAGGAGGTTGGGGAGGTTGGGAGTGGGTTGGGAGGAGGTGGGGTTGGTTGGGAGTGGGTTGGGAGGGGAGATTGGGAGGAGGAGAGGGTTGGGAGAGGGTTGGAGTTGGGAGAGGGGGAGAGGGTTGGGAGAGGGTTGGCACCCAACACCATGCTTACGAAGACGACCCAGAGAAAGCTGTGACCAAACACCACACTTACGAAGACGACCTAGCAAATATGCATACCCCCACACCCTTTCTTATATAGTGAGAACACCTACTTTGTAGACACCAGAAAAATGCCTGGACCTAAACCTTAAACCCTAAACCTTAAACCCTAAACCCCTAAACCCTAAACCTTAAACCCTAAACCTTAAACCCTAAACCCCTAAACCCTAAACCTTAAACCCTAAACCTTAAACCCTAAACCCCTAAACCCTAAACCTTAAACCCTAAACCCCTAAACCCTAAACCTTAAACCCTAAACCTTAAACCCTAAACCTTAAACCCTAAACCTTAAACCCTAAACCCCTAAACCCTAAACCTTAAACCATAAACCTTAAACCCTAAACCTTAAACCCTAAACCCCTAACCCCTAAACCCTAAACCGATTCGGGCTTTGGAACCCAAGCCGTCAGCTGCTGCCAGGGTTGCGGCTTGCTCTCCGCAGGTTGCAGGTGACTCTGACCTGTGCTCTGGGACGTCGACATGTGGGGCGCAGGGCTTATGGGTGCTGTAAGGATTTTGCCTGGTGTTTGTGCCAGGGTATTCTGAAAGCTTGATAGGGTTATATCAGGGCTTGATAAGGCTTGAGACGGGTATTTTTAAGGGGTTACGAAAGGGTTCTGTAGGAGGGTTCTATGACGGTGCCAGGTTCACGGATTGAAGGAGTTAGGGTTTAAGATCCGGCTGATTCCGAATACCAAGCCCATTCAGGCACATTTAAAACAATCTTGCACAACACATTCAGCACTAAACCCCGAACCCCGACTCCAAACCCAACCCTAACCCCAGCAAAAACCCAACCCGCAAACACTGAAAGGCAATAAACCCAACTAATAAACCCTAAACCCCAAACCTAAACCCCAAACCGGTAAATGCCCTCAGCGACTAATAAACCCTAAACACTAAACCCCAAACCCTTAAAGGCCGTAAACACAACTAATAAACCCGAAACCCCAAACACCCTTATAGAACCCTTATAGATCCCTTTCAAGGAGCCCCTATAGATCCCTTTCAACTAGCACCCCCAGGTTTGGTCAGACCCTGTCCCGACAGGCTGCTTCTCCAGGGAAAGCTCTTCCTTTCATGCCGTGGGCGAAGGGATTCTTAAAGGGTCCCTTCAAGGGATCTATAAGGGTTCTATAAAGGGTTTAGTTAGGGTTTAGGGTTTCCGAAAGTTTGGGGGTACCTTATTTTGGGATCCTTATAATATGGATCCCACTATTTAGGGTAGAAAATTTGGGCCCGCTACTTTCAAAATCTTCTACAAGACTTTCATCGGGCTTCGCATTCGTCTCGGTAGGATGTATATGTATGTATATATATATATATATATCAGGGCCTTAATAATTAGAATAAGGTTCATCATTTAAAGGGGTCTATAAGGGTTACGAAAAGGGATCTATAAGGGTACTCTAATCTAGGGGCCTTGATAATAATTAGAATAGTTGTTTTTTTTTGTTTTTTTTTTTTTTTTTGGGGGGGGGGGGGGGGGGGCGCTGTACTATAATTTTAATCAAAAGCCGCCGAAATAGTGTTGGTAATTAAATAGACAGACCACCTAAGGCTTGGGAAGGGCCTCACAGGATCTCATCGGGTTCTATAGAAAAACCTCTTCTGTTTGCAATGCTTGTTGGGGGATCGAAGGGCTCTCGGGCTCAAGCGCTTATGGGATTCTGGGATTTTGGGGTTCAGGGTTTTTAAGTTTCGGGTTTGGGGAATTTTTGAGTGGTTTTTGCGCTTTGTGTCTGGGGTATTGAGCTCGAGCGATTTGGGAGATTTTCTAGGGTTGAGAAGGGGATTTCTACTGGGGCTGGGGGCCTTGAAATGCTTGGTGTTGAAATCGTGCCTTTCCAACATTCACATCAGAGTTGGTACAGTATAGCTACACGTGTTGGTTTTGGGCTGCTCAGAAACATTCTGCCTTCTATAAATATCAACCTCCTACTACCTACCCCGTGGGCGGTTCTTTCAGGTCCGGAGTACGCATGCACCATGTACGTTTGCAAACATGCAAAAACCAATTGAACGTAAGACCTGGTCGTGAACAGGACTCATTTGCTAAACCTGCAATTAGTTCCGAGTTGCGGGGAGTTTGATACAAGTGCAAAACCTAGTACTCCAACTGTTCACCGAAGTCCGTTTGGCCATGGGAGCATACCAAGGCTCGATTCATGTGACTGGGACTCCTCTGCAGTATCGCTCGCATCCCAGGCAACTCGAGCGCGATTGTTCCAATGCCTGGTTAATCGATAATAGTAGCAGTAGTAGTAGTAGTAGTAGTAGTAGTAGTAGTAGTAGTAGTAGTAGTAGTAGTCGTGGTGGTGGTGGTGGTGGTGGTGGTGGTAGTAGTAGTAGTAATCATAATATAGTAGTAGTAGTAGTAGTAGTAGTAGTAGTAGTAGTAGTAGTAGTAGTAGTAGTAGTAGTAGTAGTAGTAGTAGTAGTAGTAGTAGTAGTAGTAGAAATAGTAGTAGAAATAGTAGTAGAAATAGTAGTAGAAACAGTAGTAGAAACAGTAGTAGAAACAGTAGTAGTAGTAGTAGTAGTAGTAGTAGTAGTAGTAGTAGTAGTAGTAGAAGTAGTAGTGGTAGTAGTAGTAGTAGTAGCAGTAGCAGTAGCAGTAGCAGTAGTGGTAATGGTAGTGGTAGTGGTAGTGGTAGTGGTAGTGGTAGTGGTAGTGGTAGTGGTAGTGGTAGGTGGTAGTGGTAGTGGCGGTAGTGGCGGTAGTGGCGTAGTAGTCAGCAGTCGGTAGTGTAGTAGTAGTAGTAGTCGTAGTCGTAGTAGTGGTAGTAGTAGTAGTAGGTAGTAGTAGTGTGGTAGTAGTGGTAGTAGAGCAGTCAGTAGCAGCAGTTAGCAGTAGCAAGCAGCAGTGTAGTAGCAGTAGTAGTAGTAGTAGTAGTAGTAGTAGTAGTAGTAGTAGTAGTAGTAGTAGTAGTAGTAGTAGTAGTAGTAGTAGTAGTAGTAGTAGTAGTAGTAGTAGTAGTAGTAGTAGTAGTAGTAGTAGTAGTAGTAGTAGTAGTAGTAGTAGTAGTAGTAGTAGTAGTAGTAGTAGTAGTAGTAGTAGTAGTAGTAGTAGTAGTAGTAGTAGTAGTAGAAATAGTAGTAGAAATAGTAGTAGAAATAGTAGTAGAAACAGTAGTAGAAACAGTAGTAGAAACAGTAGTAGTAGTAGTAGTAGTGGTAGTAGTAGCAGCAGTAGCAGTAGCAGCAGCAGTAGTAGTAGTAGCAGTAGTAGTAGCAGTAGTAGTAGGAGTAGTCGTAGTAGCAGTAGTAGTAGTAGTAGTAGTAGTAGTAGTACTAGGCGGCGGAGTAGCAGGAGTAGGAATGGGAGTGGGAGTAGGAGTAAGTAGTCTATGCCAGCCCAGAAGCTTGTTGGGGATGTGCGCGGCATGCGAACCTTCCCAGGCATCCTCTACTTTTGCAGGATCTCCAGAATCGTCAATCTCCAAACTGCTGTGGTCCTTGACGGATTATGGTTCAGGCCTTAGGGCTTAGGGTTCCAGAGTCAAGGCCTGGGAGCCAGGTGCTTCGATAGCAGCAGTCTGACACGAGCAATAGACGCCTTAGGAGGGAACTACTACGAAAAGAAAAGGTCACAAGCCGTAGCAGTAGTATCATTGGCAGTACGACTGATGGGATTGCCCGTAATGCGAGGAATACGATGACTATCAGTGTCATCGCTACGGCTGCTCTTACCACTAACATCACTCTTGCAACTAAAGTTGCAATCCGCCCATAATTTCCCATCTCGCTCCGGCCCAACATAGAAGGAACGGGAGCATTCCTAGGAGGTTGCCGGGCAGAGCCTCTCCCAACTCTGGTCAAGCTGCAGTCGTTGCCACCTGCTTCGCCTCTGCGTCTGCAGAAGGCTCAGAAGTGTCCTCTGTCGCAGCCAACTCGGCATACAGATCCTGGTCCTCCTCCACCTTCTCCACCTTCTCCTCTTTCTCCTCTTTCTCCACCTCCGGGGCTTCTTGGTTCAGGTGTGCTGCGGGACAGGGAAGAAGAACGATGAGAATGATGATAAGCTCAGGTTTTCTACAAGTACCACCATTTCTACCACCATGCTTACCTCCACCGACAAAAGACTGCGAATGCCTCGTTACTTCACAATAAATATTTCCAAACATCAACTCTGTCCCCCTTCCCTGCATTTACCCTAATAAACCCTAAACCTCCGACACCCTGCGGCCTCCCTTGAACTTCCCGGCCTGTTTGGGCAGACTCCTCCTCGTCCAGGTTGGGGTCCAGCCGAGTCTGGGAGCAGGGTCCTTGTGCCCTGTGTCCTCAGGAGAAATGCATACTTACATAGTATTTTACTTCGTTACTTATAACACCTAATACCCTGGTAGGTAAGAGATCCTCACAGTCATGCCCTGTTTATCAGAAACGAAAAAGCACGACAGGAAGCATTTTCCCCCACCTGTGGCTTCTCTGCCGGTGGTGGTGGGGGCGGTGGCGCAGGGTGGACGCGGCAGTCTGAGGCGTTGGTGGGTTTAGGGTGCGGGGTCTTCTTGGGATTGAAACGAAAACCCTCCGGGATGGATATGAGCATACATAAGGGCTTCATGTGGGCTTGGATTTTATGCACCGGGGCCCCGAACCCTAACAGCTAAACCATAGTAACGCACCAAAACCGCCCTGCATCCCAAACAACGACTACAAAAGCACCCTAACAGGACGCCAACTCAGACATAAACTTATAAATAGTCTTATACAGCCAAACTGCAACCTTACACTTACACAACCCTTGTGTACAACGGAGCTATTACAACCCAACACCCTATACAAACAATTTACAACCTTGCAAAACCCCTTGCTAAGAATCGAAACAGTCAAATTATCGCATTACATGACCCTTGTTGCACCCCTACACAACAAAATCCTAACCTCAGGAATCCCTCATGAAAGAAGCCCTTTGAAGCCGAATTAGAATTAAATTTTTACATTACAAACCCTTAAAAAAAGAGATATGAAACCGAAGTCTAAGACCCGAAACCCTATTACTTCACAAGCTGGGTCCCAAGGAGCCAGACCCAAAACCTTATGTCTGAGATCCAGGCTTAAAGCCTCAACCCTAAACCCTAATTCAACCCTACACCCTACACCCTAAACCCTGAACCCTAAACCCCCTTATAGAACCCTTATAGATCAATTCAAAGGAACCCCTATAGATCCCTGCACTTTCCGGTCTTCGAGCCTTCTCCACCTTGGACCTCAGCTTTGGGTGCAGAGGCCCGTGGCTTCATTCGCTGCCAGGAGAAGCCAGAATACCCTCGCAGATTCTTCCTGGGTTTGGGTTTAGGGTTTGGGTTTAGGGTTTAGGGTTTGGGTTTAGGGTTTAGGGTTTAGGGTTTAGGGTTGAATACCCTCGCAGATTCTTCCTGGATGTGCTTGCAGTACTTAATGCTTAAGACCTCGACCTCAGAGAGGGGGGATGTCTGGTTTAGGGATTTTGGGGTTGAATACCCTTGCAGATTCTTCCCGAACTCATCTGAGGGATTGTCTGGTCCAGGGTTCAGAGTTTAATCACCCTCGCATATTCTTCCTTGACTCATACAGGGAGACTCTTAAGGGCTTCGGGGAGTCTGTGGCTCTGGGTTTCAGCTAAAGGGGTCGGGGCTTCGAGGGCCTGTATAGCTTTCGGTTTAGAAATTTTAGAGTTTAGGCTTCTAGCCTTGGGAGTGTAGGGTTTAGTTTAGGGTTTAGGGTTTAGGTTTAGGGTTTAGAGCTGTAGGGCTATTAAGGTCTCTTGGCAGGTTTAGGTTTGGCACTTGGGGCCTGGCACCTGCGGGACCGGTAGTCGCAAGATCCCTAAAGCCTGAATCAAGATCCCTGAGGCCTAAATCAAAAGCCCCTCAGCCTAGACTCTATATGCCCCTAATCCCTCAGAAAAAAAGCGCCTAAGAAAACTGTGCTGGTGCTTCGCAGGAGCCAACTTAGCGAATCGTGGGTTGAGTGTGTCTCATCCAGGATGTATTTTTGACCTTGAAAGCAGTAGGCTTCTGTCTCATCTTGTTCGAGAGCCCTGCCCGAAGCTCCATGTTTCAACGTAACCCTCCTCTGTTACATCTTCCAGTTCAGCGTCTGTATCAAAGGACCGCATAGGATCTCTGCTAAACTTAAACCCAACAAGCTTCGGTAGACCCCGCTTTTTAAGAGCACAATACAACTCTTCTGGCTCGTTTCCATGTCCAGACATGATCGCAGCAAGTAAGCTTCTGGCCCCAGATTATGGTACCATCTTCCACCTGCTTGATGACAGCTGGTCTTGAAAATGCCTCGCCGCTGGGCCGTTGGATTCGCACACTGCAGGAGTACGAAGTGCCTTTGTATGCAGCATCGCGGCTGACCTCGCATCAGGGGACAAGACACAAGCTACAAAGAGTCTCAAGACTCGCATGCTCAGTCTTCTTGAGAATTTGGTCTGCCACCCAGCCTCGTAACAGGAGCCGTGCCTGTCAGACCAGTTTCCCTCCATCTGTTGCAACCAGTCGGCATCCTTTTCTCGCCGGCGTTGGAAGAAGCGCATCGAAGCTCTCCAGTAAAGGCACGCCGCCCGCGGGAACGTCCGACAAGGCACCGCGAGCTTGAGAGCCAAGTGCGGACTCAAACCGGCGTTGACTCGGGAGCCGCTAGCACGTAGACATGACTCGATAGAACAAGTTGCCCAGGGCGTGATCCCTGAAGCCTCTTGACCGTAGAAGACCACTACAACAACTAGCACTTAGCAATGCTGTTCATGATGGTTGTTCACGAAAAACAGGCATAAACGGGAGTAGCTGCAACATTATCGGGGGAGAGAGAGAGAGAAGGACTGACCATGATGATAGCAGCAATGTAAACCTCTGACATGAATTAGAGGCTTGAGTGAAAACTGAAACTATTCCTTAAGGCTCCCAAATATGAGCAAGAAGATTCCAGTAACCTAAACCCTCTTATCATTGATGCCCCTAGATGACCGTTGAGTCAGGAGTCCACAGGACGAAATTGGCCTTAATAAGTATAAAGTTTTGGGTTAAATTCGACTCTAATTACTTACAACAAACAACCCCCAGGAGAAGTACTGCGAATTATTCCGACCCCTGTCCGTCGACCGAAGGTGCACGGCCTCTGCTACCCAGGGCCGAAGCCCACCGACGCCAGCAGGAGTCCCGATCACCATAGCACGCAGGTTTTAGGGCTTTTGTGGTTTGGTGTCGAGCTTTGCAGGGGGATACATGGGCTTGAGGTGAGTTGAAACTGACATCCGACAGCCCCAACAACCCGAAACCACAACCCCAAACTCAAAAGTTCGACAAGGTAGGTTTTGGGCCCAGGAGGTTTGAGGACCTCCATAGGGCTGTGCGATCCTGTAAATTTTAAAAGCGTAGGGCTTTTGGCTTCATGACTTGGGGTGGAGGATCCTCGGGCTTCAGGTTTCGAAGGTTTGTGGGTCTGGCGGCTCAGAGCTTCGGGCTCAGGCAGCTTTGCGTGTACTTGGAGGATCATGGGACTTAGTAAAGTAGGGTTATAAGTACCTTGATTGGGGTTATAAGTATAGTTACCCTAATTATAACCCTAGCTTCTACGTCCCATGATCCTTTAAGTACTGATCTGTGAAAGCTTTCTACTTGCATACGATCCCGAAGCCGCGTGGGCTTCAAAAACCAGACCTCCCTGTGACTACGACTAATGCTGCTGCTACGAGCACAGCAAAAGGACATTCGCAGCTCCTTCTTCATGTCGGTCGTGGCATCACTGATGCTATCATCGCTCCTTGCATTTCTCCTTCTGCTGGATTTGCTGTCGACGGTGCCGTTGCAGTTGCTGCGGCAGCTGGTTGTCGTGATGTGGTTGCTGTTGGCGTGCTCGTGGTGGCGATGGCTGAGTTGTTCTGCTGTGATATCAGTTCTTGCTGAAGCTGGTGGTGCTCTTGTTGTTCGTCGTGCTGCTCTTGTTGCTGCTGCTGCCCCTACCCCTCAACGGATACATATTTACTCGCTGACCGAACTGCTCACTTGAGAAGGTGCCCCAAACATGTACGGCTTACTTCCATGCCATGATCGTGATGACGCTGGAAATAACGACTGAGTTCTGGTCACTGCTACATGTTACTACCTAATACCTACTGCCCACGACCTGCTGCCTCCTGCTACCTCCGTCCGCCTACGGCCTACGCCCATGCCCAATCCAGACTACCACACACTGCAATCTAGGGCTTCAACAGTTGTTTCTGTCAGCAAATACCAAGGCAGCATCACCCAGCATATTGGGCAACCAGCGTCAAGGTACCTGCCAGGGGCCCTCAACCTTCAACCCCAAGAAGGCATGAATCGTAATATAGGGGCCTTGACAACTAGAAGAAGGCTTTGGGGTATATTCTACTATAGTTATAATAGGGAACCTCCAAAATAGTATAGGTAATTATTTAGACCCCTACAGTACATGGGAGTTTCCGAAATCAGGGAACCCTTACTTATATAGTACCCAAAATAGTAGGATCCCTATCATAAGGGCCCCACAGTAAGGTACCTCTAATTTTCGGAAACTCCCACATGCTGCGTAGCCGTCAGCAGACTCACCGGACGAGCCTAGTACGCTGGGGAAATCTCACATGCATCCTGCGCGGAGGTACGAATAGTTTGGGGGCTCCTTATTATGATTATAGTGATTATGGTAGACTATCCCCCAAATACCGATACTACTTTTGGGGGTTCCTTGTTATGATTATAGTAATTATGGTATACTATCCCCAAGACCCTACAATAATTATTAGTACCTGCCTGGCTTACCCCAAGACGCTTCCAGGCAGGTCATTACGTCCAAGTCCATGACCCCATCAACTCCGAAAGCAGACTCATGCCTTCAGGGATAAGATCTACATCCGCCATGATAGCCAGCACGTCTTCATCTTCCAAGCCGATGAAGGATAATCTGTACCCATGGCCTGGGCGGCAGGGATCTATTCTGCACATCTCTGTGCCTTGGATTCGGTTTGATTCCATCACCAGAGCCTGCACCCACTCGATGTAAGGTCTAGGGTGCAGGGGCATCCTCATACACTTGAAACAAGTCGCGGCGTAGCATCGTAGCCTGAGAACGCAACCGCAAGAGGGGATGAGTTGGCTCGGTTCCGTCTTCAGGCGCTTTCTGGCAGGTTGCTTACACAGGTAATTTTGTTGAGGTCCCGATCCTTGCTACTTGTATTCAATAACCCAGCATGTCTGGTCTATGTTCGGGTCTCCCCTTCGCTACAACTTTCGGACAGCAGTGTAGCTCAGTGAAGACTTTGGGGAATGGGGTTAAGGAGGATGCCGAACCTGCCCTAAACCCTTAATCCCAAACCCAAAGCCCTAAACCACATGCTTGATTCGAGTCAAAGTATGCGAGCCGGGGCACCAATTCCAATTTATTCTCCGTGCATTTCAGTACTGAAATTGCCAATGTCTTCACCTGCCAGGTGGGGCTTGGAGCTCTCCGGTTTAGGGCTGCTTCTGTCATAGGGACCCTGCGCGAGGGTAAGGGGGAGGGGGGTTGGGGGACGACACTTCCTTAAAGAGGCCTTATTTGTAAAGTCCTTATTATGGGCACTCTGGCCCCCTACCCGGTCCTACCCCCTCCTCCCCCTACCCCCCTAAGGGTCCCTATGATTCTGGGCTGCCTGATGCAGTGTTATTCTCCAAGATGGCTTGGGGAAACATCGCACTGACGGCTTTGGGTGTCGGGGAGACCCAAAGCACAAAACCCACGACGAACTGGCATCCAAAGGCCATGACTTAAAGCTGTACACCAAGGGAAACCAGGTGAAGTGAGGGGGAACCCAACTTCTAGAGTGTACATGCAAGCGCCCGAATCGGGGCTCTGACCAACCACAACCGTCTGCTTGCCTTGCTTATGCCAGCACTCACTAAATCACCAAAATCCCCTGACCCTTTTCATCAGCAACACATCCCACTGCAAAAATGCTGCTACTACTACTACTACTACTACTACTACTACTACTACTACTACTACAACTACTACTACTACTGTTACTGCTACTGCTACTGCTACTGCTACTGCTACTGCTACTGCTACTGCTACTGCTACTGCTACTGCTACTGCGACTGCGACTGCGACTGCGACTGCGACTGCGACTGCGACTGCGACTGCGACTGCGACTGCGACTGCTACTACTGCTACTACTGCTACTACTACTACTACTACTACTGCTACTACTGCTACTACTGCTACTACTGCTACTACTGCTACTACTGCTACTACTGCTACTACTGCTACTACTGCTACTACTGCTACTACTGCTGCTACTGCTGCTACTGCTGCTACTGCTGCTACTGCTGCTACTGCCGCTACTGCTGCTACTGCTGCTACTGCTGCTACTGCTGCTACTACTGCTGCTACTGCTACTGCTACTGCTACTGCTACTGCTACTGCTACTGCTACTGCCACTACTACCAGATGTGCCTTTCCAAGAGCCAGGAGGGCTTCTGCAGAAAGCAAGGCGCGGTACTCCCGGCCCAGGACGCTCACCCGTAGGAGGTCCACCTGAAGTGACTTCTGGAATCTAATAGATAAATGTTGGGGCCGCTATAATTAGAATAGAATAGGGTTTGGGGTAGATTGCGGTATAGTCATATTATATAGGGACTACACTAGGGGATACCCCATCGTAAGAGTTGTACTGTTGTGGAGTTGGATGTTCGGGTTTCGGATTCGGCGCGTCGGGTTGAAAGTTTCGGACTTGGCTCTGTGTTCGATCATGGCACAGGGTAATTTAGGGCCTTAATAATTACAATAGGATTCCTTCAACGGGTTCCTGTGAAAGGGGGTCTATAAGGGTTACTATAAGGGCTATTATACGGAACTTTTGTAGTGTTGGGGCCTTAAGAATTAGAATAGGGTTTTGGGGCGATCGGACATACGTCTGAAGCGAACAAAGCTTTAGATGAATAGGATTGTGGGGCCCACGATAATTATAATAAGGAGCCCCCAAAACAGTATTGGTAATATTCAGGCCCGTATATTAAAGGTTTTGTTGTTTAAGAGTACGGGGTTTGGGGATAGGCCGTGGGGCTTGAGGCTTCGGCATGGAAGTTGAGGATAGAAAGAGAACCGGAGGCCCACCCCGAAGATCATAATTAGAACAAGAATAACAATAAGAATGGTTGTAGCAGTATTGGCAGTAGTAGTAGTAGCAGCAGCAGTAGTAACAATAGTCATCATAC